GTCTCTAAATTTGTGAAATCCCATTATGAAGCCTTGAGGTGAGCAAAAATCTGCATCTGCACAGGATCATTATCACTGTATTATCTGTCATGATCCTGGGTTTTTTTCCCCAGCATTTTCCGTTTTCCTTGTGTTAGTTGTGGAGTTTCTCTCTGTTTATATTTATGTTCATAAGTCGCTTTAGTTTTCTAGTTATCTTTAGGGTTCTCTTGGCCTTGTCTCTGTTTCCTCCCCAGCATCTCCTTTGTTATTGTGCCTCCCCGTGCAGTCTTTCATGTCAGATTAGGTGTGTTAAGTTCTGTCTCTCGCTCTCAAATTCCCAGTCGTGTCCATGTTTTTTCCTGTTCCCCAGCCATGTCTCCGTGTCTCTCTCACTCCACCTGTTGCCTGTGTTTCAGTGAGGACAGATTATTAGCAAGAATGAATATGATTTATTGCTGAATAAATCGGAGCTTAGACGCTGTTGGTGGAGATGAAGGTGTCTTGAATGGAGCTTGAGTGATGAGAGGTGGGGATGGGGATGAATTGGATTGCACAACAGCATCTGCAAAGGAGAAAAACAGATGCACAGTGAGATTTAAAGTATGCGCTATGAATGCTGATTGGCCTGGAAAAGGCTGGAGAAGGTGATTGGACTAGACCAGTGATGACACAAACAGCTTGGAAACGTGGGAAAGTGGAAGTACAAAACTCGAGATTCCCAGCACCTGGAAGCAGATAGATGTGAGACCATCCATCTTCCTTGATGAACTTGCGCATATGCTTCATTTACTCAGTCTGCATCTTAGTGTATGTTTCTTGTACTTCCTGTTTTACTTTGATAGTCTCCTGTCTCAGCATGTTCACTTTTGCCTCCCGTCTTTTTTGTTAGATTACGTTTAGCTGTGTTCCCACCTTTGTTTGCCCTTCGTTTGTGTGTATTTATGTCTGCATCTCCCCTCTGTTTCTTGTCACAATCTTGCTCATTCCCTGGCTGTGTGCTCTGTCTGTTTCTTTGGTTCTAGTTCATTCTTGTTTTTGTTTTGTATTGCTTAAGTCCAGCAATAAACTCATAAATTTTTGAGTTTAGTTTTTGTCTGAGAGTTTGTGGTTTGGGTCCTCCATCCTGTCTGTTTCACAACACCATATGACATAACCTCTTAAGCCCCAATGCCAAACCTATCTCCTGTCTTTTGCCCCCTTATCTGGGGCGTATGGGCTTAAGAGGATAACCACTTTGCCAAGTTCCAGAAGAAGACCCAAATTGTCACACTTAAATGAAAAAAAAAAAATTAGGATTTCCAGGAAACGTTTGATGCACAGATGACACACAGATTGAGCTGTTTGGTCACAATGACAAGAAGTATGTTTGGAGGAGTTAAGCTTTCAAACCAAAGAACACTGTACGAGCTGTCAAGTAGCAGTGATAGCATCACCTGTTTTGCTTCTCCTGGTACTGGTACATTGCACAAACCAGATGAAATAATGAATGAGGTTTATTGTATCTCCAAATTCTTCAACTTCACCTTTAGTGAATAGCTAGACAGCTGAAACTTGGACACAACTGACTGCTCCAACAAGACAATGATCACAAACACAAACTAAAACTGAATGGATAAGGCAGGCTTACATTACTTTCTGAAAGCCTTGTTCTTAATTCTATTAAAAATGTCTTACTTCAACCTTAATTCTACCAATTCTGCTAAGAAGAATGGTCAAATAAATGACCTGAAACCCTGCCTCTCTTCTCTACTCCCACTCATCTCTGCTATCATTCAACTTTAACAACCTCCTTCTAATCTAACCTCCATTTCTAAAATACTTGAAAAAACGGTGCAGCTCAACTTCTTTCACACCTGGTTAATAATAATATCTACAAGAGATTTCAATCTGGTTTTCACTCATGTCACAGTATAGAAACTTGCAGCACTTATGTGGGTTTATATACAGTACCAATGGATAATAACCAAGGTGATGAGTAATTTGGGCTGGTATCAGAAGAATAGGAAGGACTCTTGGAGCTCTGGTACATGAATGACAGAGAAACAAAACACAGTTGTGTGGCTTTAAAGTAACTTAAGCCATTTTAAGATTTTTTTCAAGAGAGTTTTGTAACCAACACAGAATTACAACATAAAAATTTCCCCCCAAAGTAGCAAAAAAATAGAATAAAATAAAATTGTGCAGAAGTAAAGAATTAGTCTTTAAAGTCCAAATGGTACCGATGGGGCCCATGACAAATGGGTGCATTGCAACAGAGTCCATCCAATGAGAAGTGCGTGTGTGTGATTGTCTGTCCTACTGCACTACTTGTACAGCAGAGAATTGTAGTCCATCAATGTGTATATCGTCCCCTAGGATCTGGGATTGGCTCGCCATCCAGTGAAAACTGGAACACTCTGGGATCTGTAATCGCTGAACTGGTCCTTGGATTCGTCCCATATAAAAACCTGACCTATAAACAATGGCCAAATATATGTCACAACCAATTTAAGAATAACTCTCACAAATTACAGTACTGTCACGCTGCAGTTACTACTGTTCAGATCAGCTATCATCAGTTCAATCATTATCAGTTCAGGCATGTTGTACAACATTAAAATATCAAGGTTCAAAGTTCACAGTATCAATTTTCAAAATTCACAGTTGTAACCTTCAGTAAGATTCAAGATTTTCCACAAGGCTTCAAATATTCAGGAACTATAGTCGCCACTTTTATGGTAAACATTCATCACATCCATCAGAAATAAACTCACTGTATATATAATCACAAATAAATAAATATATTACTCCCTTGAGAAATGGAGCAATATGTAAATGCTTATCAGATCTGAACAAAATACAAATAATCAATTTCAATAACATGTAAACACAAGAACTCAGTCTGTAAATAGGAGTATTAAAATAGATGTGCTTAATCCACCTTGTACCATAGGCCGTCTAGTACACGTGGAAATGCACTAAAAATTACCTCAAAGTATTCAATACTGTGTGTAGTAAAATAACTTGTTTTTCCTTTTTGTTTAGGATGATTTCAGGAACTGGATTACAAACTCCTTTACTTAAAGTTACTAATAATCTTGTAATCGGAGCTGACTCTGGTCTTCTCAACATTCTCATCCTTTTGGATCTGAGCTCAGCCTTCGACACAAACTCTCACTACGTCCTTCTGAGCAGACTTTCCTCTCTTGGCATCTCTGACACACCCCTAGCCTGATTTCAGTCATATCTCCTTGACCGCTCCCAGTTTATTCAAATTAAATCATTCCATTCTCATCTATTGCCAGTCACATCTGGTGTACCCCAAGGGTTAGTCTTAGGCCCTCTTGTCTTCATAATATACATCCTCCCTCTTGGTACCATTTTCTGTGAATTTGATCTTCACTTTCACTGTTTTGCTGATGACGCCCAGTTATATATCTCCTGCAGACCTGGTTCTTCCCTCCCAGCTTCTTCCCTTACAGAATGCATATCTGAATTGAAATCTTGATTCAGCTCTAATTTTCTTAAGCTTAATGAGGAAAAAACTGAAATCCTTCTTATTGGCACTAAATCCAACCTTTTGAAGGCAAATCATTTCTCACTCACTACTGATGACTCCAGAGGTTTTCCCTTCACCTCATGTTAAGAGCCTTGGTGTCATCCTGTCCTATAAATCTCACATCAATAATCTCAATCGTTCTGCCTATTTCCATCTACGCAACATCAGCAGATTACGTCCTTCTCTCTCCCACCAGTCTTTGTCCATTCTTGTCCATGGTCTCGTTACCTCCCGGCTTTGCTACTGTAATTCTCTCTTACACGGTCTCCTCCAAAAGTCCCTCCACAAGCTTTAACTGGTTCAAAACTCCACTGTCCGCATTATTACCAGAACCTCCTCGTACCAGCACATCACCCCTGTTCTTCAGGAACTTCACTGGCTCCCTGTGAAATTCTGGATAGTGTACAAACTTCTTCTGCTCACCCTCATAACCTTGCTCCTGCTTACCTTTCTGATCTGTTAAGCACTACCTCTTCTGCCTGCTCACTTCGATCCTCATCTTCTATCCAGCTTGCTGTGCCTTCTTTCCGCCTCACGACCATGGGAAGCAGAGCTTGCAGCTGCTCTGCTCCCAGATATAAGAAACATTGGTTTAAATCTAAACTCAAAACCCATCTGTTCAAATCTGTATATTCACTGTGAATCAATTGTTTGCTAATTTTATATTGTGCTTTTGTTTTTATTGTTCTTCATTTGATCATTGTTCTGTTATTTGTTTTATTGTTGTTTATTTGTTGTTTGTTAAGTGTCCTTGGGTGTCTTGAAAGGCGCTTTATGAATAAAATGTATTATTATTAAATATCCACCTGGAATTATACCAGAAGATTCTTGATGGCTACCGATTAGAGAAAATACAAAATAATTTATTTTTTCTGTATAGTCATCTCAACCTGGAAAAATAACAGTCTACAGAAATAATAATAATAAATAAAAAAAACGAAAGTCACTATGACATTTTTCCCTATGATAACTTTATGTAACATTTTGATCACAACTTTATATTGCCTATACTGGAGACCAGATGAGATGCAGTAGTCCAGTTCTCTCTTATACCAGGTTATTAGACTTTCATTTGTTTGTTTTTCACTCAATAAGCAGAAATACAAACACCAATATATGCACCAGACAACCTTTGGGGTTCACCAACATATTCTTTAATATGCAGACAAGTGCAAACAATTGAAAAGGTTAAGTTGTACACGTACTTCTCTTGTATTTAACAGAATCCCAATAAAAACAGGATTGGACAGTGGTTAAATGAAACATCCAATAATAAAATATTGCAGCTTTCATACTCCTTGAACTCTGAGGCCCATGAAGGAACGTACAAAATAATTGTCTCTGTGGGTGAAGATAAATTTGTTCACAAATTCAAGGTGGAAAAGTATGGTAAGTCAGGTCTTTAAAAAGATCTTTTGAAATTCTGTTTTTAAATATTCTTAATATAATGCAGATATTAACTTTGATATTTTGTCCCCAGTTTTACCCAAATTTGACGTAACAGTAAATGTATCTGAAGAAGTGAGTATTGGCCAGGAAGAAGTTGATATTAAATGATGTGCAAAGTAAGTAGGAGTCCTTTCTTGACAAATGGCAATTTAGATCCTCACAAATTGGAGTTTTGTTTTATTTTTGTTTTTATTTTAATAGGTACACATTTGGACAGCCTGTTCCAGGAAGTATTACAGTTACGATGTGCCGACTTCTTGAACGCTCTATTTCCTCTGCTAAGAAACACAAGACAGAGGCTCCCTGCCACACAGAGACCAAACGGGTACAGTTGTTCCAGTCTCAAATTTCTCCTGAAACAATGTGCAGATAAAAGCAGACCACATGCCCATGCAGAAGGTTTCTGTATGTCAGGAATTAATGCAGTATTTTATCATTATCTTATCTATCTCCAAATTTCGACAATATAATGAGTAAAATTTCAAGTTGAACTTGAATTTCAATTAAATAATTTTTAGTGTCCTTAAAGCATTTATTTTTAATTCTGTATTATAAAATACCCGGTTACAGATTCAGTAATATTCACTGTTGTGCCCTCATTATTTATGAATGCTGAATTGTAGCTATCGCTTTGACTCCATTTTTTTTCTGCTGTTATGAATATGTTCTGTGGCTGATGCTTGTGTCAGTGTGTCAGCTCTTAACAAGCTAACTGATTAAATAATGAGTTTAAGTCATTTATTCCATTAGTAACACTGGTAGAGCTACAACTGGCTTAAGCGACTGCAACAAAGTCCAAATTGTTGCAACCTGCTTAACCTCCTAGAACCTGGCGTCCACATATGTTGACATCAAATTTTGGGTTGTCTAGACCACAATACTAAATTTTGCTCTACACGAGCCTGATTTACACTTACAACAACATTATACTGCCACTGTTCTATTGAAATTAAAATGAATATCCTTATATGTGGATATCAGGCCCTTGTAGAGCAAAATCATTCTTTGTTTTTACATTCATCAGGTCCCAATCAGCCCAAATAGCAAAGACAAATTAAAAATGCATGCCATGAAAGACTTCGGGTCTTAGGAGATAAAAGTATGATGTAAGCCTTTTTAAAATTATTTATATTTTATTGTTTTGGAATTTCTAGGCTGATGGAACAGGCTGTGCAGCTGTTACGTTCAAGATGTCAACCTTCACCAAAATTAACAAAAAATTCCTTAAAGATCAGCTGAATGTCATTGCCAAAATGGAAGAGGAGGGAACAGGAAAGTCTTGCAGTTGTTATTTTTCATTTTATTTTAATTGTTACATTTTTTTAAAATTATAGGTTATTGTGCTTTTGTGGAAATATGGCATGTGCATTGTTTTAACATTGAGGTTTCGTATTCAGGCATTTCACACAAACAAGAAATGAAAATAAGAATTTCTTTTGTCCTTGGAAAAGCATCTTTTGTTGATGTTCCCAAGATTTGGGAACCAGGATCAAATGTGGAGGGAAAAGTAAGTTCAAATTTGTGCTATGTAATTTAGAATGTAGTGTAAATAATGTGGGTTTTAGTAATGAAACATTGTGGTTTGAACAGGTTAAAGCAGTTTACTACAATGATACACCCATTTCCAAAGCACCTGTGTACCTGTTTGTGGGAGAACGTTGGTCAGAACGCTTACTAAAAAATCTAACAACTGACAGCAACGGTGTCGCTGAGTTTTCATTCAGCACAGATAACTTTCATGAGGATATTAAACTCCATGTAAGTAGATAATTACACTGAAACAGTAGTTTTTAAGTCAGCATTGGTAAGTTACATGACAATGTTTTCATTGACTTAATATGATTTCTGATGTTGCTTGTCCAAGGTGCTACAATAGTAATTAGTGACTATAGTGAAACTGTTAAGATTATTTTACATTAGCTTGCTTCTAAAACCCATCTTTCAGTGACCTTCCACAGTGTTTTCTTCTTCATCAAATTATGTATGTTTCTTTTCTACAATTCAGGCAGCCCTGACACCAACCCTATACTTCCAAAGCCATAGAACTCCTTTTTATGATTTAGGATTTCACACAGTGTATACATCCCAACCTCCTTCTCAAGATGAAAAAACATTCAGCTCGCTGAAGCTGAAGATGAAGGATAAACCCCTTTCCTGCGATGCAGAAGAGGATATATCTATTCAGTACACTATAGTGAGGGAAACTGCAGTTTACATGGATGTGGTATATCTGGTGAGTTATTGCTTGTCACAAGTTCATCCACAGTAAAAAAAAAAAGAAAAAAAAAGAAAGGTAAAAAAAATTGAAAATCTACCAGTTTATCGAATGAAACAGAAAGAGTTTATTAATATATTCACCTCAGAGAAAGTGGTTTGTAAATGCTGAAGAAAAAGCAACACATCATCTGCATAAAGACTAATTTTATGTTCTACATTCTTGCATTTTATTCCCTTAATTGCTATAGCCAGATTGCTGCTGCTAGTTTGATAAAAAAAAATGCAAACAATGAAGGGGAGAAGGGGCATCTGAGCCTTTTGCCCCACTGGAGACAGAAGCTGGAGGATGTTCGGTCATTTGTCCAAAGTCCAGTCAATTTTCAAAATACAAGACCACAAGCAGACTGCACTGTCTGTTTCTGAATAACTCCCGGCAGGACTTAAAGCTGGGAGAGACGCAAAATGCACAATGTTACAGCTGGATTACACATTTTATGTCATTTTCTTCTATATTCTTCAGGTGTTGTCCAGAGGAGCCATTGTCATGCAAGGATTTAAACAGATTAAATTTAAAGATCAGTCAGGTATGTAAAGACTGGCTCAAATCATGAGTTCATGAAATTCTTTTGTAATATCAGGTATTAAATCCAGTTACCCTTTTAAAAAAAGTTTGGTGATTATTAAAATAAAACTGATATTATAGCTATTTTTGGTATGCTTGTTTGTTTCAGTGAATGAGGGTGAGGTGTCCTTTAAATTGAGAATTTCTACTGACATGGCACCAGTCGTCCAGATTGTAGCATATGCTGTACTTTCCAGTACGAATGTGATTGCCCACAGCGCTGACTTCTCTACTGAGAAATGCTTCAGTCACAAGGTATGTGTTGGTGTAAACTGTGTGAAGCTGTACTAGATATATTGATTAGTGTAAGTTAAGTTTAATTATATGAAACCATGACATACAAGAAAAAAACCCTCAAAAAACTTCAATCAAAGTGGAACAGACTCCCTCCCAACAAGGAAGCCACAGCTTTAGCAAACATCGAGTGGGCAGTGTGTCACAAGTGCCTGGAGGTCAGTACATGGACAGGGACCCAAGAGCAGATTCAAGCACAGGAAACAGTGATAAGGTTTTCACAAGTTCTAAACACAAGAATAAATACCGAAGGAGGGATACTTGGCAGGGCGTCAAATATGGCAAAACTGTGAACAGAGGGCTGGAGTTCCCCAGCCTGACTTGGGACACGTGGAATATGGGATTTATGCGCATGAATGCAGGGAGCCTTAACTTTATTGCCGTTCGGCTGATGATGGTCTTGATTTCATAGGGACCAATGCTGCGTGGGGCCTGCTTGCGGGAGGTATTTGCCATAGCTTTTGCCCCGGAGTATACCTGGGAGCCGGAGTTCTCAATCGATCTGCATTGTGGCGTGGTCAATCGAGAACCTTGAGCAGCACTTCCTGAGTCCAAGTCGAGATGTCATGCCAATGTAGATATTGGACTCATGGAATGGCGAGCTCCACCTCCGGCTGCAAAAAGAGGTTCATCAAGCAGAGCACAGTGGATAGTTTCCTCCACGTCCCAGGAAATTAAACCGCTCCTGTACTGGAGGCATAAACCTCTACTATGAACACAGGTGAACACCTGCATTCATCTGTATTAGTGAATGCAGGTGAACGCAGTTTTGGCCTGTTGTGTACAGGTGAAGGGTATCTTGGTGAGGTGAGTGAGTGGTTCTGCTACCTGACTGTAATTCCAGATGAAGCAGCAGTAAAAATTGACGAATCTGAGAACGTTTTTTTTGAGATGTGGGAGTGAGACATTCCCTAACAGCTTGGACTTTTGCTGGGTCGGTCTTCACCTGCCCTCCTGCCAGGATGTAACCAAGAAAAGTGACTGAAGATGAATGAAACTCACCTTTCTCCGCTTTGACGTATAACCGGTTTCGAGAAGGCGCTTCAGCACAGATTTGATCTGGACCAGATGTTCCTCCAGAGTCTTGGAAAAGGTTAGGATGTCGTCTAAATACACGAACACAAAAACGTTCAAGAAGTTTCTCAGGACCTCATTAACTAATGTTTGGTAAACTGTGGGAATTTTAGTGAGACCAAACGGCATGACCAGATACTTTGAGTGACCAAAGGGGGACCAGATGATAGTCATTGTGTAGATTTAACTTAGAAAAAGTGGTGGCACCATGAACAGGTTCAAAAGCTGAATTGATGAGCGGGAGAAGATATTTTCTTTTGATCGCAATCTCATTTAAACTTCTGTAGTCAATACAAGGACTTTGGGTCTTGTCCTTCTTAGTGATGAAGAAAAAGCCTGCACCTACCAGGGAAGAGGATGGGCAGATGATGGGACTCTCGAATATACTTATCCATGGCTTCTCTCTCTGGCTTGGACAAGTTGTCAGGTTGGCTGGTTGATGGTGCAATCATAGGGTCTGTGGAGTGGACGTGCCTTATGTTTATGGAATACTTCATGGAGGTCATGATACTCCTTGGGGACTGAGGACAGATCTGGTGGTGAAGGTTCGGCAGGTGATTATTGAGGCAGTTAGCAAGGCAAAAAAAGGCTCCAGCTAGTAATTTGTGTAACCATTCAATATGGGGATTATGTTTCTTTAGACAAGGGTAGCCAGGGACAGTCACCAGAAGTAATTTGGGAGACTGGTCTGGTTTGATGAGTAATATGGGAAAAATTGTTTAAAACTGTGGCTAGAATGGGAGGATCGGGTAGAACAGAGGCAAGTGCAATTACATAGCCAGCTACGTAGCCTTTTCTCTCTCTCAGGCGATCCTGAGAGAGAGGGAGGAGGAAATAAACCAAATCCTTGAACGATGTGGGCTCATCATGAGAAGCTAACTCATAAATATTCCCAGGAGCACATGATCAGGCCAACCCACCTGGGCAGCTGCCATGCAGAAATCGATGACAAACTTAGCTATGTTACATCTAACTTGACTTCAAGCTCCAAGCTACGCTGCCCTCAGAGATGAGGTGGGCAACGGTCTTTTAATCTTCCCTTGAAACTCATCATAAGAGCAGGATGAAAATGAATGTGATGACAAACACGCCTCAAACAAAAAACAAGGAGCACAAGAGACCAGAACAAACCAAAAACAGGTCAACACAAAACAAGACTATCCACGAGTCCATATCAAAGTCCGGGAGTCGACAACACAAGAGCCGAAACAGTTCAGGGGGTCGACCATGCACACAGCAACGGCGGCGACGGGCAATCAGTTCCGGAGGCCGACCGTGCACACGGCAACGTCGGCGACGGGCAAACAGTTCTGGAGGCCGACCACTCGGAAGGCAGTGGTGGCCACTGAGCAGGTCCGGAGGGCGGCCGCGATGCCAGCGGTGGCGATGAACTCCTTCCGGAGGCCGTCCCCGAAGGCCATGATGCCAACTTAGCGGCCTGGAAAACGGCTGGCAGAGGCGAGGCGAAACAGGTCGAGCTGGCACCGACGGCGGCGTGGCAACCGCAGGACCAGACGAGGCAGGACCAGACGAGGCAGGACCAGACGAGGCAGGACCAGACGAGGCAGGACCAGACGAAGGCGGAGCTGAGGCAGGACCAGACGAAGGCGGAGCTGAAGCTGGACCAGACGTGGATGAAGACACGGAGGTTGGACCAGACGAAGATGATGAGGATGCGGAGGCCGGACCAGGCGAAGATGATGAGGATGCGGAGGCTGGACCAGGCGAAGATGACGGCAGCGGGACGGCTGCGGAACCTGACGGCAGCGGGATGGCTGCAGGAGGTGATGTGGAGATGTGCTGGCTGGGTCCTCCAGGACCCTCAGCTAACGAGGCGTGGGGCTGGGTGGGCTCCTCGGACCCTCCAGCAGACGTGGCATGAGGCTGGACGGGCTCCTCGGGCCCTCCAGCAGACGTGGCATGAGGCTGGACGGGCTCCTCGGTCCCTCCAGCAGACGTGGCATGAGGCCGGACAGGCTCCTCGGGCCCTCCAGCAGACGTGGCATGAGGCCGGACGGGCTCCTCGGGCCCTCCAGCAGACGTGGCATGAGGCTGGACGGGCTCCTCGGGCCCTCCAGCAGCCGACACTTGAGGCTGGCTGGGTTCTCCTAAACCCCAGCAGACGAGGCAGGACGCTGGTTGGGTTCACCTGAACCCCCAGCTAACATGACGTGAGACTGGACGGTTGACTGAAACAGAAGTTGTAGTGGTGGTCGCGATGATGGTCGTGCTGGGTGTAGTGATGGTAGTTGAACATGCAACAGAGCGGGTAACCGACTCTCAGCAACTCCTCTCCGGGGAACAGGGACGGGTACTGGGCCTGGTCGAACCTCAGCCACCGCCACCTGAAGAACAGATACAGGGCCAGGGAAGAGCTGTGTTCTGGCTGCCGTACCCCTGGGGGCCGGTGTGGGTGCAGCAGCTAGCTGGACCACCGCTGCTCCCACCCGAGGAGCTGAAACGGGTGCAGGAGTCAGCGGGGTCTCAGGTGCCCCCACCCAGGGAACCAGAACAGGCACAGGCAACGACCGGGCGCCCACCATCCCCGCCCGTGGAGCAGATACAGGTGCATGGATGAACGGAGCCATAGTCTGCCTGGGAACTGGAACCGGACGCGGAGAGCAGAGCAGATGAGCTGTAACAGTCACTGGGAAAACCAGGTTTATGGTACCAGACATGGTTCTAGAAAACCGAGACTTGCGGCAGGCTGACCTTGGTAAAACCGCTATTCTTAAGTTGTCCAGGTTGACGTTAGCAGTCTTAGAAAAAACGAGTTCAGGGGCAGTCACAGGTGCTGGAGGAATTATACAAGCGGTATCTGAAGAAACTGGGTGTGAAGCAACATAAAACACAGTCTTACAAAACGCAGCCTGGGAAGTTGCACACACAGTGTCCAGGGCTACTGGCTGAAAAGCATGGCGCACAGAGTCATACAAACATGATCGTGGAACCGAAACTTTAACTTGAGCAACCACTTCTGCAGTGTTCGAACCAAGTATTTTTGCCAGCTTGGTAACAGCAGATGACACCTGGTTGGTCTTAACCTGGACAGTCACAGGACGTATAGTCTGGAAGAGTTCACAATGAGCAACACAAACAGTCTTTGAATAAGCAGACTCCAGGCTTGTGAAATTTAACTCGGGGGAGGTTATGGAAACATGAGGTTTATCATAGGAAGCCTCAGAATGAACTGGCTGGTGAGCCGCGTAAACCATGGGTGAAGCAACACCAACAACAGCCTCATGAGGTATAGCCTGATGGAATAGATAGATGGAATGTGGCTGGGAAATTGAACTGTCCCTGTTTAGTTTAGCAGTAAGAGGAATAGTCTTTTGAGCTGCATCTTTAATGTCCCGAGTGAGATCATGATTGTCCAAGTCAGAAAATTTCATAACAGATTCACATATATAATCTACATCTGGAAACTCACTGTTAACTGATCCAAAAACAGGTGGCTCGGAATCAACATAACCTGCCTGAGAAGCGAAAACAGAAACCCCAGTCTTTTCAGAATGAAACCCAGAAACACCACTCTCAGTTACAGGACAAATAACCTCTTTTGACTCTGAAATAAGGTCATCTGATTCCTGAATATTCTCAAACTTTGAAGAAACAAAAGAGGGAAGATTAGAATGCTCAGAGTCCCGAAAGACAGCCTCAGAGTCAGCCATCTTGGGATCATCAGTTTCTGTCTTTGCAGGCCCTGAGTTAACAGTCAAAAAGTTAACTGACTCCGAATTCGCCGGCTCAGAGCTGGAAATTCCCAGTGTGGAAGAAGCCGGGTGACAACTGTTCTGTTCACTCACCACGTCCAGCAGTTCAGAACTGGACTCGGGTTGCGGTGAGGGACGGCGACGACGAGAACGCCGCTTTCTCTTAGAAACCGGAGCGACAGAAAAAACGGAGGGTGTCGGAGCAACAGTGACTGGTCCCTCATCCTCCGACCACATTCCTGCCAGGCATGAGGCAGGTGAGGGGTGGTCGGAACCAGACGTGAGGGAGGAAGGAGTCCGATGCTGCGACTTCAGCTGCTGCAGAGGGGCTTTAGAATGCTCCGCCCGCTGCGGCGGCATGAGAAGGCTTGCTCGCTGTGACTGAGGCGGTGTGGATGAGGAGATGAGGGTGAATTGGGCCAGCTCCCGGGCTTTGACTGCCTCCTTAGCCTGGGTCAGCGAACGGCTGAACTCCGAGGCAATAGACAGCTTGCGCAGTTGAGGATTTCTGTCAAATATGGTTTGTATTGCATTCAGCCCGACTGAGAACGTCTGCAAATCTGAGGCGTGGCTAATGCGAGTCATCAGTCCGAGGATGTGAGCAAGGTCCACCTCTCTCTCGAGGTGAGCTGAGTCCGCTGGGTCCATGTTATGGTTGCGTCCTTCTGTCACGATGAGTTGTGTGGCTGTTGGTGGCTAGACCCACGTGCAGGACTCGGAGACAAAACATTAACTTAAACGACGGCTTTATTTGCTGGAGAGTCACCTTTGGACGATACATAAACAACAACTTAAACTAACTAGACAGGAGATGCTGAAGGTAGACGACCATGGATACACACACAACAAACGTGGAGGACGCAACAACTGGCAGGGAAAAACACAGGGCTTAAATACATACTGAGGTGATTAGGGAATGTGAAACAGGAGGAGAGCACAGCTGGGACTCATCAGACATGACAAGACAAGGGGAGGCAAAACTCAACACATTGACATAGTACACAGACTTTCAAAGTAAAACAGGAAACTGAACAGACGAGGACTAAACTAGGGGATACAGTGACAGAAATCAAACCCAAGAGAATCAAAACACATCATGAAAACAAAGATAACTAATACAAACAGAAAAACACTGAGTCCACAGACTCAGGACCGTGACACCAATGCTTTACCCCTCAGCTTGCCTACCACTTACGAGAGCTCAGAGGTGTTGTCAGGGATGGAGTGTGGTGATTGAGAAAACATAAGAGCATTGCAACAGGAAACCCTTACAGCAACCCTGTACCCTGGTGAATGGCTCAGGCTGAGAAGTGTTAATGGCAGGTAAAGTTGGGGCAGGTCCTATGGAAGCGGGGAAAGGAGTGGAAGTGTGCGTGGAAGTGGTTTGGCTGGGAGTGAAACTAAGCTGGAGTTCTAATAGTGAGGCAATGATCTTTTCTTGAGTGTCACCAATAGATTTGCATTGTATTTCTAGGAATTGGACTGACTGTTGATAATTACCTAGTATTGAACCCTACTTCGAGATCGCTGCCTGTATTGGATCTTCTGGGTCCATTTTTCATTAGGCTAATTGTACTGTCACAAGGGCCTGGAGGTTAGTACATGGATGAGGACCCAAGAGCCGATTCAAGCATGGGAAACAGCGATAAGGTTTTCACAGGTTTTATTTTCTTAAACACATGAGTAAATAGTGTCACGAAGGAGGGATATTTGGCAGGGAACCGAATGTAGCAAAACTGAACAGAGGGAGAACATGGTTAGAGAAAAGGTAAGGGAAGCTTGTCTGGAGAGGTGACTAATACTGAAATAGAGTCTTACTTGGCAGGTTTGAATTGCTGGGTGTGCATCTAGAATGGTGAGCTAGTGAGAGGGTTCTGACCTTTCTTTTCTAGAGAGCCAAGAGAGAAGGTGGCAGGAGGACAGGCGGAAGCGGTAGAAGGATTAATCCTGAGTGGCGGATGTGCAACAGAAAATGCTCCTTTAACAAGGAGAATGATAAGGCCTGTTACCAACGTGAGGTTAGCTCGAAAACAGGTGGAGAAGAGATGGGGGACCCTGGTCTTAAATGCTATCTCACTGATTGCAGTGAGGATGAGGGGAGCAGATCAGGTGAGATGACGAGGACGCCACCCCAGGGTAGATACTGGGCAACACAAGAAAAACAGAGGAAAAAACACTTGAGCTCACCCAGACTATGACACAGTGATTATCAAACCTGAACTCCAAAAACTACATAAAAGCTAGTGAATGGTTTCTGTGTGATATAGGCTTGAACTTTTGTTCTTTTAAAACCATTTAAGTTTAGATGGCGTAATACACGCTTTGTCTGTGTCAGGTGTCATTGGAGTTCACACCTTCCTCAACTGTCCCAGGAGAAAAAACCAACATGGAGGTGACGGCTCTTCCACACTCTTTGTGTGGTTTAAGTGCCATTGACAAGAGTGTCCTCATCAAAGAGCCTGAGAATATTCTGGATGCAGATAAGGTAAGTGTGGTCTCAACCACCTTATACATCCTTCACTCTCAGGCTACGTCCACACTAGCCCGGATACATTTGAAAACGGCGTTTTCATCTGAAAATGCACCACGTCCACACTAGCGTTTTCAGTCGTTTTCACAGTTGCGCGTCCACATTGAAATGGATGAAAACGCTTACATTCCAGTCCTGCGCATGCGCACAAGCGAGTGAGAATTAAAGAATTTGAAGAAAAGCTATCTGGAGCATGTACAAACTGATATTCATCTTTTTTAGGGCTGTCAAAATTGAGAGCAATCAAAACAACCGCTGTATAATGCACTCCGCTATCTTTGTTTATTTGGTCACATGACTGCATCACATGACTAAAATACTTCATCGTTTTAGAAAGTCTGCGTTTTTGTGTGTCCACACTGCGACAGGACAGCTGCGTTTTTAAATGTATGCGTTTTCAAGAGCGTTTTCAAAATGCTGCGTTTTTCCTAGAGGAAAGCACAGCGTTTCAGTGTGGACGGGGGGCCAAAACAGAGAAAACAATGCGTTTTCAAACGAAAACACATTAGTGTGGAGTAGCCTCAGTCTCTTCTAGTGTCATAAGTAGCAGACATTATATGAAGGCAACATGGATCTTAATTTGTGGGGAAGTTCTATAATTGCCAAGACAGAGATTCTCCTGCATCTGAAGAGCCAATCAAAACTGAATGAGATCAACTATGAGGTTCACAACTGTTTAACCTGTCTCATGGCAGTTCCTTGCTGTGTAACCATAGCATCTATTCAGTTTACTGGTGTGTTGAACCAAGACCTGTGTATAACTTTAAGCATGGTTGGTATAAAATAAACTTTCAGGTGAACAAAAAAGTCTTTAAAATCTTACTTTTGATAAATAACCACGTGGAGGTGTTTGCAACTTGCACAGCCTAGTTGTAAATCTTGCTTCTAGATAGGCTTTTTTGGTCATTTAGAGGTTTTGTTCTCTATCTATTTTTCTCTATTTGTTTTCTTTTTTGTATAATACTGCATAAAACTGTATAAAACAACTATTAATACAGTCCAACACTTATTCTGTTATAAAGCATCCTGAGACAGTGATTAAAACATTTATTTGGCTACCTGTCATAAAAAGGGGAAAAAGATAAATATTTTGGAACACTGTCAAATAACAAACTGAATTCACATTTTTATACCCAGATTTCAGCTGGCAAACTCAACTTAAAATGCTTTTTTCTGTTCAGAAATTCAAGTATATAACGATAATTTTAAATGTATTTTCAGAGATAACAATAGTATTTATATTTTAGCATTAAAAATATTTTGATTAAAGAGCTTGTTCATACTGGTATATTAACCATTACTGTCATGGTCCTGGGACTGTGACCCAGTGTTTATGTGTTTTTGGGTTTTATTAATATTCTTATATTTAGTGTCATTCATGGTTCTGGTTCTCTTAGTTGTTTTCTGCTTAGAACTTAGAAGAACTTTTTTTTTATCGTCCACAAGACCACAAAGGTGCAAAAGTACAGAAAACAATATTCAAAGAAGAAAAACAATATAAGTTCAGCAATATTAGTACACTATATGCACGGTGTATGAGTTACAGAAACCTTTTGGGGTTATGTACAAGGGCAATAATATAATATAATAAATAAATAACAGTGGAACGGCTGTGGTCATTAAGGATGGGGTGGTAATTGCACATTTGCTAGAATATTGCACAGGGGCCAAAATATTGCTCAGAAAAAGGAAACACCAAAATATTGCATAGGGAATGGCAACAACAGAGTCAAAAGCAGCGACAGAATGAAGTCTGTTCACACTCTTAATTTGCATTAATGGTTCTGACAGCCCACGGGTAGAAGCTGTTCTTTAGTCTGCTGGTTTTGCATCTGATGGATCTGAACCAGGATGTTGAAGAGGTGGTGGTTAGGATGGAGGTGGTCTTTTAAGATAGCCCTGGCTCTGGAGAGACATCTAGAGCTGGCAATAGAATCCAGGGGGGTGAGTGGTCAGCCGATCACCTTCTCTGCAGTTCTGGTGACCCTCTGGAGTCTCTTATCGGCTATTGTGCAACAAGCGTACCACACGAAGATGGGGTGGACCAGCACACTCTCGATTGTGGCTCGATAGAAGGAAACTAGTAGAAGGACACTTATGTTATATTTATAGTTTCTTGTCTTTAATTTTCTTATTCTGTGTTTTCCCTGTGTTCCACGTCTCTCACTTAGTTACTCTTTTCTTCGTGATCTGTGTTCTCTCTCTGTCCCCCCAGTCAGTTATGTCCCCATGTCTATTTCTCCCCCGGTCACAGCTTTAATCCTGTGTGTCTTAGTGTTCGTCTCCATGTTTGTTGTGCTTCCTGTTTTATTTTGACAGTCTCTTGCTTCCCCTGTCCTGTTATGTCTGATTAGTTCCTGATGTGTGTCTGATATGTTCCCCAGCTGCTTCGACTTCCCTGATCATCCTGCTGTGTGTTATAATTTGAGTTTCCCTTTGTCACTTGTCGGTTTCTCTGTTCGCCACTCACGTTTCTGGTCTTGGTTTTAATGGCTTAGGGCTTCACGTTCCATGTTATTTTTCTTCACATCCAGGTACTTAGTGCTTATTTTTTTCCCCCAGTTTAGGTCTTGTTAGTTTCAACTCTATCTCCATTTGCTTTTTGTTTGTTATTTGTACAGCCAAGAATAAAAGGCTCACGTTTGTTAAAAATTCAATTCTGTCTCCGTAGTCTGCATTTGGGTCCACTCTCTCTCTTCTCCACACAGTCCTGAGAATTACAGAACCATAAAAATTGATTTTGGTAATTACCAATCCTGTTCATTTATGACAGCTGTGGTATAAACCTTACGTTGAATAGTGATCTGATCATTTGTAAATACTACATATGTGGTTCATATAAGTATAGATCTTTAATCTGATTTTCTCAATTGTTTGAACTTCTTTGAACCATTTTTTTTCTTAGATATTTAATTTGCTGCCTGTCATGAAAGCATCTTTTTTCTCATATCGGCTACGAGAACCAAGAAAATGCTTGAAAGTGAGAACAAGAAGATATAGTTCACCTAAAGGAGATAATGAAGCCTACATTGCTTTTGAGGTAATATATAAATATTTTCCATGAGCATGTGTTATGTGTTTCACTGGATCCACGGATCCAGCTTCTTGATGTTGGCCTTGCACCTTGACTGTTTCAAATGTTCCACATAAGGTGAGTCTTAATAGTTGCATAAATAAATAATATTCTACTGCACTATGTAATATATGACAAACAATAGTCCTTCTCTGCAGCATTGGTGAACTTGGTATAGTTACAACAGCATTCCATCTGCAGATTTTGCATCCAGCTAACAGTAAAACTCCAGAGCATATCAGCTGATGATAAATATAATGCTTTTCATGGCTTTAGCTGCAATTAACTCTGTGATGTTTGTGTGTCTAGAGAGTAGGATTAAAGGTGGCAACAAACCTGCTGCTCGAAATTCCTTCATGTCTGAGTTTCATGGGAAGAGAATACGAGTTCATGCCCTTTGGTGATATTTTTGTTTTGATTTGCTTTGCAAATTCCAAATCATAAAAAAGTTCCCAAAATCAAAGCAGTGTGTTACACCTTCTTATTCATTCTGATTAAGTATTTATTTTTCATTTTTCTTTTTTTTTTTTCTTTTTTTTTATGATTCTAAATTACAAGCGGGTTCAAGTTACTCTGGAGGATCTTTAGGTCCATCAGAAGGACCGATGAAAACTGTCCGTGCTTTCTTCCCCGAGACTTGGATTTGGGACCTGGTGGAAGTTGGGTATGTCTTAGTTTTTGGAGATCGATCTATCTATCTATCTATCTATCTATCTGTCTATCTATCTATCTATCTATCTATCTATCTATCTATCTATCTATCTATCTATCTATCTATCTGTCTATCTATCTATCTGTCTATCTGTCTGTCTGTCTGTCTGTCTGTCTGTCTGTCTGTCTGTCTGTCTGTCTATAGTGAGTCTATTTTATATATAAAATGTCTATGAACGTGGTGACTGCTACACTGTCATTTGCATTGTTGGCTAATCTGTGTTATCACCACCTGACAATGTGCATATTTTGAATCTGCTGATTCAGAGAGTCTGGATCAAAGGATGTGTCCCTCACTGTCCCTGACACCATCACGACCTGGGAGACGGAGGCTTTCTGCTTGTCCTCTCAGGGTTTTGGTTTGGCTCCTCGTCAAGAAGTTGAGGTCTTCCAGCCGTTCTTCCTCGAGCTCACCATGCCCTACTCCATCATCCGCGGGGAGCACTTTGAACTGAAGGCAACTGTCTTCAGCTACCTGACCAGCTGCATCATGGTGATCAATATTTCTATATCAAAAATTACAAATGTCAACAAATGTTAGCATGCTGATAGACTTTGCAGATGGTTTTGAAGTGGCCCCTGATGCAGGACTCATCAGACAGAATAAAACTCAAAATCTCAGCTTTATTTGACTGGGCAGGATAGGAATTCACTAATTTAATAGAATACATCCACAATGAAGGACGATGCAGTGGGGAATAGAAGGGTGATTAAGGGAAGTGGAGACACGTGGAAACACAGCTGACTTGAATCAAAACTAATAACACAAAGGAAGCAAAAGTCAACATCATACCCATGAGACAAGACACTATCAAAATAAAACAGGAAGTAACAGAAGGACTGCAGAAAAATAGACATATCAACTACATTAGATAAGGAACACAGACAGCCATTGAGACAGAACCCAGAGAGACCAAAAAACACTATCACAAGATAATGACAGACTGGACAAAAAGGGGAACAAACACGACTGAACAAGAGGTGAGAACTAAAAATAACACAGAAACACAAGTCTAATCCGGAACTCAAAACTAACTAATAAAAACTCTGAACATCAGTCCAAGGTCTTTCAAACAAATAAATAATTCCAGAGCATAACTAAAAAAAAAAACTGGGTTGAAGAGCCAGTACCATGACATTAGTGGTGTACACACTTCCCATCAAGTATCAGGAAGGATATTCAGTGCAAAATTATACCAAATCAAAACATGTGAAGCGACTCTTGGTGAATGAGGCAATAGCTGAAAGTATTCTGTCCTCACAGAGTAACAAGAAAACACTGAATTCCTCTTTGACTTAGAAACTCAACCCGTTGTTTTGTTCTTTGTGCAGGTCACAGTCTTTTCTACGCCTTCCTCAGATTATACCCTCACCCCTCTTTCCGGTGAGCAGTACACATCCTGTTTGTGTGCTAAGGAGCGCAAGACTGTGAGCTGGACCATGATTCCAACAGTTTTAGGTAAGGATCAAGTTTTTATCCACACCGGTGTAAATGTCCTTTCAGTCAATGCCCCTTCTCTTTTCAGTATCTACAAAATCAGTGAGATTATCTAATTAACAGTATTTTAATGTGCAAGACTTTACAGGGTTGAGAAAAATGATGTTTGTTGTCCTTTTTTAGGGGCTGTGAATGTGACTGTGTCTGCTGAGGCAGTGCCATCCCATGTTTCATGTGATAATGAGGTTGTGAGAGTACCAGAGAGAGGCCGCATTGATGTGGTCACAAAATCCTTCATAGTAAAGGTTGGTGCCATTAACACAAGATGAAAAACATTCTGCATTTGAAAACTTGTTTTCTCACGAAGGTGAAACTGTAACTTGTTCTTTCTCAGGCTGAGGGGACTGAGATGACAAAGACATCCAACTGGCTGCTTTGTCCAAAAGGTTGGTGTGGTTTATACACCAACCAAATACACGGGGAACACAGCTGACACAAATAAACATGACGCCGCAGGGGATGCAAAACTAAACACACCGAACATGGAAACGTGAGACTGTCAAAATAAAACGGGAAACAAAGGAACGCAAGACTGACATACGAGCTTGGCACAGGAGTGGGAGAAAGTCAGAGGACAGAGAGAGCGAGGAAACAAGAGAGGGCGAGAGAGCACAAGAGACAAAGAGGATGAGAGAAAGGGGAACATGGATAAACAAGATGGAATGAAACACAAGGAGGGCAAACAAAACACATACACAGACACACAAACTCACATAAACACAGACAGGAACACACATGACAACAACACAAAGCGAGACTAAATGGACAAACAGACTAAACTTAAGACTACTAATGTACCTAAAACACAGACCACAATACACAATAACAAAAACACTGGGTCAAAATGACCCAGAACCATGACAGCTAAATATCCCTTGTCAAGTTGCACCTTGACCACATGCCTTTGGTAGTCATCAACAAACTAATGGTATAATTCTGGCTCGACATTTAGACACAATCTCTTGTGTACCCAAGTCTTGTTTTTTAAAGTCATTAAAGATGTGTGCCACGTAGTCATTCCAGTTTTGAGTTTTTGTTGAAGGGTGTTTGTGGGTGTCACACCAAATTTTGATAATTCCCCACAGGACATTTAGTTGTTACAGTATATCTCAACTATATATGAGATATTTATAGTTATATCTCATATATACACTATGTTACAAACTTGACACGCTTGGTAAGAGTCAGTCTGGACACATCTGTGTGGAAATATTAGGTCACACTCATAGTACTCTTATTGTTGTTGTTGTTGTTGTTGTTGTTATTGTTTTAATAATATTTTTTGTGCTTATAGGTTTAATTATAGGTGTCTGATTTCTCATATGACCTGTTACAGTTCATGATGCTGTGACCACCTGCTGATTTGAAACTATTTTGTTACTGACATTCTGATTAAGCTCCTCTCTGTATGGTGATTGTTTGTCTGTACACAGGAGACACACTGACAGAGGAAACTGAGATACAGCTGCCTGAGAATATGATTGAAGGATCTGCCCGCACTTTTGTATCAGTCCTGGGTAAACCTGATCATTTTTAATTAAATGAGTTTAGATTAATCCAGAAATAAATATAAGAAGTTTATTTTTTCAATCAATAGTGAATTAATATAAAAGACAAATACAACTGGACTGGCATTGTTTTTGCCTGGTTTTGAAACACGCTATTAAATGAGACTCCAACAGTTTTGTAGTGTAGAAAATAGTTTAGAAACTACATTCCAATAACAAAGTGCAAAATATTATAATTTAGTATATACAGTTTTTATATAACCTGCTGTATTTTTCTAAATATTTAGCTTCTTTACTAGTTTTAATCTATTTGCAGTTAAAGTGTTCGAACGTTGTATGTTCTGTCTCAGTGACTGAGTGCCTCTGATCAGGTGACATCCTCGGCCGGGCTCTGAAGAACTTGGATGGACTGCTCCGGATGCCATATGGATGTGGAGAGCAGAACATGGCTCTTCTAGCCCCCAACATCTACATCCTCCAGTACCTGAAAGGCACACAGCAGCTCACCCCAGCCATCATGGAAAAAGCTGCGAACTTCCTGACCAGTGGCGAGTGTGTTTGTTTCATAGTGAGACTAAAATCAAAGGTTTATGAATAGAATATCTATTTAAGAGTCATTTTCCTGTTGTTACAGGTTACCAAAGACAGCTGAACTACAAAAGTGATGAAAGCGCATACACCACATTTGGAAGAGGACCAGGAAACACTTGGTGAAAATAATAATTACCTTATATTCCATTTGCCTCAGAAACAAAACTGAGCCTGTTGGTGAAATTTACTCCTTAAATCTCCCGTCCTATTATCATTTTATTTCTGGACATGGAGAAAATCAACTCACATTATAATGGCATAACTGTGACACATTTTGATATAATTTCGAAACATGAGGAAGTTTTCTTTTGGGTGCTTTTTTATGTCAGGCTGACTGCCTTTGTGATGAGAAGTTTTGCCAAAGCTCAGTCTTTTGTCTACATTGATCCAAAAATCATTCAAGAATCTAAGACATGGCTGGAAAATAAACAACAAACAAATGGCTGTTTTAAAAAGTCAGGCAAACTCTTCAACAACAGAATGAAGGTAAGTCTATACTTTAGCTGGACACTGATACTAATTCTGTGTGGAGAGAAATTCTGGCAGCACACAGAAATAACTTGGTTTCACTCACCAGGGTGGTGTGTCTGATGAAGTGACTCTCAGTGCATACATCACTGCTGCTTTCTTGGAAATGAATATATCCCAACATGTGAGTAAATTTGAGTGATGTAATCAAATTTGTACAATGTAAAAAAAAATACAACACTGACTTGTAAATGTTTATTTCATTTTCTTCTTTTGACATCCATTTTCCCCTCATTTTAAAAATACATTTTTATGATAGATTTCTAAGTCACTTAAGTCGATACTTTCTGTCTGTAGGTGAAAAGGAAATATGTTAAAGCATTATTTCTATTTCCAGTCATGAAAATGAAGTTAAACAAATAATTACATAAAGGAAATGATCAACTTTGGTGATATAAGATAAGATAAGATAAGATAAGATAAGATAAGATAAGAAGAACTTTATTTATCCTGAGGGAAATTCTTTTGTCATACACATGCTCAATGCTGCAAGAGAGACAAAGGAACAGAGGAATAAGATATACAATATATACAATAAGAATAGTAGTATACAGTAATATACAGTAGGATAGTGCAAAATATAATATCAAATAAATCTAACAAAGTAACAATATACCTATATCCTGAAAAATAAATAGCTTAGCTATCAGTGCAGGTGATTCTAAAAAGTGACATAGTATTGTGCAATTGAATAAAAGAGAGTAGCAGCGTATGTCCTGTCCTGGGCAGGGTCAATAGTTTGTCTTCATAGGGCTCTTCTTTCGATCTTTTAAAGGATCCTGTGGTGAATAATAGCTTGGCTTGTCTCAGGGAGTCCATCAATGACCTCAGCAACACCTACACTACAGCTCTGCTGGCCTATGTCTTCACCCTGGCAGGAGACACGGAGACCCGCGCTCACCTTTTGCAGCACTTAGACACAGTTGCAGTGAGGGAAGGTGAGTCACCATCTAACAGGAAATCATTCAGGTGTTATTACCATAAGTGTAACTTTTATTGTATGTTTGTAGGAGGTTTCCTGTACTGGTCTCAGACAGCAGCAGAAACATCAGCCTCCCTGTCAGTGGAAATCAGTTCTTATGTGCTGTTGGCCAAACTCAGTGCCTCCACAACTGCTGACGACCTGGGTTATGCCTCTGGCATTATTAGGTGGCTGACTGGCCAGCAGAACTACTATGGAGGCTTCTCCTCCACTCAGGTGCTACACCACCCAAACAGCTTAAATCTCACCTTTGAGTTCATATACACTGGGATAAATAAAAACGTATCTGAGAGAAGCTGAATACTGAAGTTTTACTTGTCCTGTAAAATACAAAATATAAATATATATGTAAGTATGTGTAGTAGCTGTGATTTTGTTTGTAGGACACAGTGGTGGCTCTTCAGGCTCTGGCTCTCTACTCCACTCTGGTGTTCAGTCCTGAGGGTTCAAGCACAGTGACAGTTCAGTCTGACAGCAGTCAGCTGACATTTGATGTAAATCCGGGCAACAAACTGCTCTACCAGGAGGAGACGATGCAGGGCGTGTCAGGAAGATACAGCCTGGAGGTGAAGGGCACTGCATGTGTGTCAGTGCAGGTCAGTGACAGTATCCTGCTTGTTCCTTTTTCCAAATACAGAAGTATAATGAAAAAATGTGATTTCACTCAGAAAAGCACATTTGCTTATCCATCTGTGTATTTGCTCAAATTATCCAAATTCAGGATGCAGTGGCTTCCCACTAAGGAAATGATTTCAAACATTCCTTTTCCTCCTATGTATTTTTTTTTCTTGTTGTTGTTGTCGTTGTTCTTCATCATGGATTTCACTAAGGCCAGATGACATGTATAATATCTCCAGGAAGGTGTAGCTACACTGTGTGTATCCTCGCAGTTGGATTTGCCTGGAAAATCTCCAGAGGGTAGTGTCATAAAGGCATCCTGCAAACATGCCTGCACCATCTTAGCTGGCATATTTTAAGTAAATAACCAGCAGTTCTATTTCCAGATCCCTTCTCACGTCCAAGCCTTTATCTCAATTTTAAATATTTTGATGAAAGAAGCTCCAAATCAACATGACATTTCTGCCCACAATTAGTGTACATAATATTCTGGCGACAACCACCAAAATAATTTAATAACTGTAATCAGTCCCCTAAAATGTGACGCCACTATATTTTGAACATAAATGAAAAACATACACATAAAAACATAAACAGATTTCTATTCTTTTTATTATTACTATTATTATAAACTGCAAACCTCTTTTGGTTGACTATTTCGCAGATTTCTGTTCACTACAACATCCTGAGTCCCACTGATGTCACTACTCTCAGCGTGGAGGTCAAATCAGAGGTTGATGCAACAAGTGAATCCAGACGCAAGCTCACTCTGACAATAAAATCCCTGTACGTATTTAACAGATTAGATATGTGCTAGGGGAATTTTATTTACCACTGTGGGATAAGTGTTGGAAATGTGGCATCTATGGATACACATCAGTGCAATCACTTTTTAACTGTTCGAACACAGGTACAGTGGAAAGGAGAATACTACCAACATGGTGATCCTGGATATCAAAATGCTCTCTGGATTTGTCCCAAATGCAGTGTCTTTAAAGATGGTGGGTTGTTGCAGTTGTTAGCTGAATAGAAATGTTGCTACCATGTGTCAGTTTATGATGAGATAAAATAATAATGAGACTGTTGTCTCCTCACAGCTCGAAGGTGCCCCATTGGTGGATCGTGTTGAACAAACAGAAGATCATGTTCTGGTGTATTTACAGGAGGTGAGAGATAATCACAGTGGGGATACCAGATGATGATGTTTGTATTGTTACAGAGTGTGTCTCCTGTTTTTTCAGTTGCCAAAGGACATGCCCATGAACTACAGCTTGACAGTCATAGAAAAACTTCGAGTGGAGAACCTGAAACCAGCCATGATCAAAATCTATGACTACTACCAGCCAAGTACAATTCTAACTCACTTCACTGCAACAGCACACTGACACACGTTGCTCCGTAGTGTAGCTGTACAACAAACAGCAGTTAACAGAATTTGAAGGATCAAATTTAAACGTGTTGTAAAAACACAGCAAGTCACATTTTTCCACTTTGTTTTCTCTCTCAGGTGACCAGGCTGAGACTGAATACATTTACCCATCAGCTGCAGGTAACAAACTGTTATAGCGAGAACACCACATTTCACACAAAATTGAATTGAAGTTATTTTTAAAATATTTGTTCAATCTCAACACAATACAGTATTTGACAATACAGTTAATTCAGTACTTTTTTAGGCCTGACTGATTATTTTAACACAATTGCATCCTTATGTTTTATTCTTTGTTTGCAGCTTAAAGATGTGCAGTCAGTCCTGAGGTTGTCACTCAAGTTATACAACTTGCATTTTAATAAAGATGTTTTTTAAACACAAATATGCCTCCATATGTTTTGTTTTCATCTACCAATAGTTCTTCTGTATAAAAATTTCATCCATCTCAACCTGACTCTACCATCCTATTCTGTCACACTAACACTCTGCATGTCTTCTTTCACTACATCCATGAATCTTCTCTGGTCTTTCTTTTTTCCTTCTGTTTGACAGCTACATGTTCAACATCCTTTGTCCAGTATGTCCGCTATCCCTCCTCTTCCACCAACCTGTCTCTCATGTACACAGATATATTCTGTCTCCATTCTACTCACTTTCATTCCTCTTGTCTCCCGTGCATACTTCCACCTGCTCCATACTCTCACTACAGATCATAACATCTTGAACCCATCTGTATGTTGATGGCTAAAGGACATACTTGTGGCTTTTGATAATGGCAGCACTGACAGAGTTGCAGAGAAGAGTATCTCACTGAAGAAATTAGTGTTGTAAGTTGAGAAACGTCTATTTTGTGAAATTATTCCTAGTATTGCATCTTTTAAACAGAAAATGTGATTATGTGACAAATGACTCTATTTATCTTTTTTATGTACTATTCAGCTTTACCATTGCTTTAAGGAATTTTCCCAAATATGTGCATGTATTTTAACTTTTTTTGCGTTCCAGTCCAGCCCTGGTTCTGTGTACACGGATAAATAGAAATCCAAAGTTTTCTGGGCTGTAGATCATTTTAAGGATTTTAAAGGTGCTAATCTGCTGCATGAGGTGTCCTGTGTGAAATGTCAAATGCAATGAAGGATTAGCTATACAATGTGTCAAAAAGAGATGTATGGCCCCAGTCAAATGATTTATGACATGTCATAAATGTTTAATAGAATCAGTCTGAATGCTTTATTTTGGAAATTATGTCATTTGAGTAATTTATGTATGTAATAATTCATAACTGAGTAATAATTCATAATTATATGATGAAATATGAGGATAAATATGTTCAAAATATGTATAAAAATTGAATATGTAACAATAATTCATAATAGTGTGTTTTTGCATGCAAAAAAGTTGCATGAAAGTGTGAAACGAAAAATAGGTTATTCTGAATTGGCTGTATGTCCCATTGGAATTCTGTAATTAAGTTTATTTGTATTCATTTAATCTGAAAAAAGAAAATCACAGTCAGAGTGAGGCCACAGAGAGAGAGAGAGAGAGAGAGAGACGTGGATGTTCACAGCCCTGCAGCTCTGTACCTGAGAAGATCCAAGATTCAGGGTTTGAGATGCTACCTGGGACGCCATCTGGAGCTCCTCCTGAACCTTAAAGAGAGGTGGTTCTACCCTTTTTTACCAATTAGGAAACTTATGATCAATAAAGTAATTAACTGCTGGTGCTAGGATCCCCCTCAAGCGAGAGCTCAGAGCAAGACCGTAAGATTTCACCTGCCTGACTTTCATCTACTGGAATCTCTAGTCTATTCCATGGCCGCATCTGGAGCTCCTCCCTTAATAGAGTAATTACAGGGAGAGGTGGCCCTCTCTTTGGCCAATGAGAATCAAAACAAAATTTACAGCCAAATTTTTTGAAATCAACCAAGGCAGCTTTGCAGACTCACCAGAAAAACACGTCCTGACCAGTTGCTTTACCGACCATCATCACTTTATATCAGCAGTGTTGCTGGTCCCCTTGCGTTCACACCGCATTCAGCTGTTTGTTACATTTAAAACATCGCTTTTTGAGAAAAATTTTTATGAACTACATAGAGCCATTATTGCCGCACTGACTCTACATCTGGATCTCATCCAGCACGCCCAAGCAAAGCAGCGAGCACAAACCATTATGAATTACAAGAAGGTGGCCATCTGATGACATGCCTCAGATAATCATGCATCTGGGGGTGAATAGCACAAAGTTTTGGAAGAGGCATACAGGCACTGTGAAAAAAGAAAAGGTGCGATTTTCATTTTCAGAAAAACAGATTTTTAAAAAAGCACAACATCCTAATACATTTTATTTTTCTTACACTGTGTAATTTTGTAACAGGAACTTTGCATGCATACATGATTACACATATATACAATGTATCTTTTATAACTGAAATATTTTATATTGTATTTGTGTACTTTGGTTATTGCATAGAAATGAGTCACATATAGTGATAAGCACAAATGGCTGAAAGAAAAATGTTGTGGTTTTAAACTTTAAGGTTCTAAGTCACAAATGTTTAAATAAGAAAATATCACAAGTAGACTATCAGCCCTGACCCGAGTCTGCACGTAAAAGAAGACAACTCCCAGTCAGCAGTGATAATTTTTCTTTTATAGGTGGACTTATTCTTTGTTGTGGTACTTTACTGTTCCAATAAAACAAGAAGAACTCATTTGAATATTTTTCCATCCTGTGATCTTTGGTATATCTTCTTAAAATAGATTTCAACTCCCCTAACATAACTGTTGTAACCTGACATGTGTATAACACTCCTATGCTTTACTTAAAAACATAGGATGGACAATAAAACCATTGTTTTGGATAAATAAACGTAACAATACACACATACACACAAGCGCACAGCCCCAACAAAAATAGATATCTAAGTAACTTTTTTTGACTAAAAAGAAATCTTCTTTGCTTAAAGTGACAACAAAACCCTAATATAATTTTTGTTCCATATATTTAATTTATAATACATCTTTTGAACATATTATTCATCATCATATTTTAATCATGTGAGTATAAATTATCACTCGTTATCACAATTATCACTAATGAATTATTAATACTTTATGACATATCATAAAGACTATGACTGTTATAAATTTTTCTTACTGCCTTTATTACTTCCCCTGTCATAAAGAGGGGCCATAAATCGTTTTTTGACATATGGTATCTCTAATTCCCCCTATTGTAAATCCATAGCCTAATGATGGATGAAAAATGTAACAACTGGTTTTACTGCTTTTACGTCTGCTTTGGTTAATATGGGTGAAATGTCACAGAGAGAGGATAACAGGGTGTGGCTCACATCAATTGATAGGGTGGAGAAAGGAGGAATAAGTATAAAATCTGTGTGCAGAAGAAATAAGTTGATGGGAGTTCACAGTTGGAAACTACAGCAAGAAACACCACACAGATTAACCCCTGCTGAACACTGTGGACATATTGGTTTTAAGGATTATATTTATTATGGTGCTGTAGCCTATCAGCTTCACAGTTTGTTGTACTGTTCATTTAGAGATACTCTCAGGGGCACCAGATGAGCTCACTGATAAAAAAAAAAAAGTCTCTGATTTCTTGTCAGAAAATATCAGATGCTAAAAAACAGATTTTTTTTTTTAAAATTTCCATAATCTATAAACCTTTGGACGGTATTATGTTTAAACATGCCTCAAAACAGCACCCCTTCCCTTCCCCCAAAAGGAAAAACAAATCTTTTTCCCGTAAAGACAGATTATCAAGACCAAACACGACTAAAGCAAATAGAAACACAGTGTGACACTGATAGGAGCTGAGTGTAAGAGCTTCTTTAAAACCCATTATCAGCAGTTTTAAATGTCACATAAAGAAGAGGACAAAAGTTGACAGTTCAGACTCTTTTTTTCCTCAGAGATATTTTTTATTAAATTTAACCAGAGAACATATGCACACACACTTGTAAGACACCCAGAAGAAACGACAAGATTGCAAGTATTGTGGAAAAAAGAAAAGAATAAACATTTTACAACATGTTCTTGGATTCTGAGAGAGAGCAGCATTCACTTAGTTATTGTTCAGGGAGGTAGTCGAGGTAAAGTGTGCAAACCTATGCCCAGCAAGCTTTCCAGAAATTAGTCTATTCTCAAACCAGAATTTAAAAAAACCTGTTGCCTGGTAATTTGGGATACATTCAAAGTCTTTCTGTGGGGGCAAAAAACTCTTTTTAGATAAATACAAAAAATAAAAACATAATCCAATTAATAAATTAATAGTATGTAATCCAAGGATTAAAAAAATTGAATTATATAATAAACAGGTGGAATTCCAGCCTAAATTAGACCTCCTTTTGACATAGTTGAACATCAGCTTTTGAAGAATCAGAGTGTTTTATATGCATAGTGAAAGACCAGGTAGGATGCTAGCCAACCTAGCATCCTACCAAACAAAATATTACAATTAGAATAAACAATGGCAGTGTTTTATCGATTTAAGAAAATATTCATAGCTGCAGTTAAGCATTCTTCCTGCACTGACCAAAGGTATGAAGGGTATAAGATATTAACAAGGCTGCCCGCTTGAGTAACCATAGCAACCAGGTCCTAGTCTTTGTATTAGTTACTTTCTGTTATATTTTGATAGTCCATCATTTCATGTGCATTACATTTAGTTTTTTTTCCCTTGTCTTGTTTGTTTCCTTCACTTCTGCTATGTTGTTCCCCATGTGTCCCATTTCTCCTAATCACCCTCTTGTGTATATTTTGTCTCGGATGATCTGATATCATCGTGTTGGTGTTGTTCCCACATCATCATGAAAATGTTGTTCCAGGTTCAACATTGCAAGTGACCAATCACATTCTTGTGACGTTATTCTTTTGCGCGCCAAGCCATTCGTGCATTTATGAAATTCAAATGTTGCAAGGACAATATTAATTCTGCTTACCGTTTATTAAAGGGTTAGGGTCAGGGTCCGTTGATCGGCGGACAGAGGCGGTTTCTCGCAGCTTAAGTACAGTTTTTTGTTTTACGGCGGTTTTTCCCAAAGTCACAAAAGTATGATGTCACAACATTCTGATTGGTCACTTGCAACGTTGATCCTGGAACAACATTTTCATGATGATGTGGGAACAAGGCTGGACTGGGACAAAAAATCGGCCCGGGCATTTTGACTAGAGACCGGCCCACCAGGATAAAGATTGAAAATGTGACGTCATTCAGGGGTAAAACCGCAAATTCTGGGAACTTGTGGCAAGAGGTACTAGCGCACGCAGGCTTTCAATTGAACTCAGTTACACAGCGATAAAAAGAAACCCAAAAAATGGCAAGAAGCTGTTGTATTATTAACTGCAATAGGCGGTCACA